AGTACAATCAAGTGTTCGGGAATTCCCATTCTTCTCAATGTTATCCATAATTTGTCATGATCCACACAATCAAATGCCTTTGCATAGTCACTAAAGCACAAGTAAACATCTTTCTGGTATTCTTTGCCTTGAGCCAAGATCCATCTGACAACAGCTATGATATCTGAATCCAGCTTGCACCTCTGGAAGTTCTCTAGCAATATACTGCTGCAACTGTTTTTGTATTATTTTCAGTAAGATCTTGCTTGCATGCGATATTAATGATATTGTTTGATAATTTTCACATTCTGTGGGATCACCTGTCTTTGGAATGGGTACAAATATGGATCTCTTCCAGTCAGTTGGCCAGGTAGCTGTTTTCCAAATCTCTTGGCATAACCAAGTGAGTGTTTCCAGTATGGCATCCGTTTGTTGAAATATCTCAATCGGTATTCTGTCAGTTCCCGGAGGTTTGTTCTTTGCCAATTCCTTCATTGCAGCTTCGACTTCCTCCTTCAGTACCATTGGTTCTAGATCATATGCTACCTCCTGAAATGGATGAAGACTGACCACTTCTTTTTGGTACAGTGACTTTGTGTATTCTTTCCATGTTCCCTGCATCATTCAATATTCTGCCCTTAGAATCTTTCAATTTTGCAACTCGAGGCTTAAATTTTTTTTCCTCAATTCTCTCAGCTTGAGAAATGCCTAGCGTGTTCTTCCCTTTTGGTTTTCTAACTCCAGGTCTTTGCACATTTCATTTTAGTAATTGGCTTTGTCTTCTTGAGCTATATCCAGCTGCCCAGACACTCAACCAGGCCCAGCCAAGTAGACACACAAACTTAACTACCACAGTTCCACCCCTTGTCAACTTGGCACCTCACAGATCTTCAAAGGGTGGTATCTGTACAGATCTCCTTCACTGGGTGGCTCCAGTTCCCTAATTTCTGAGTGGTGACCTTATGCCCTTGACCTGGTGGGCCCTGTTCCTCTCACTCTTGGGCATGGCAGCCCTGCTCTCTCACTCTTGGGCAGCAGCTATGACTCCATCCCACTAGCTCACATGAATGAGCAACTCCAAACTCAGAACCAAGATGGTGAAGGTCTGGCTCTTTGAAACCTAGGGGGCTGTAGTGGCTCCATCCCCAAAAGCCATGGTCCTATCCTGAGGCCTTGAGGCAGCTCTGCTTCCCATTTCTTGGTCTCTCTGCATCTGGTGATTAATGACAAGGCAACCCACTCTGCTGGAAATCTTCCCGCCCCAAAAGCACTCAGCTTTCTTGCTCTGTGGGCTGGCCAACCTGCTACTCCATTTCATGTTGGTCTCTTCTACCAATAGTGTCTGAAGGGAACCCATTCTTCCAGGAAGCCACCTGTGCAATGGGATCCAGTTTCTCTTCCGTGGACTGGTAAGGCTGTTGCTGTCTCATGCTGGTCTCTGGGCTCTGGTACTGCCATCTCTCATGCCGGTCTCTAGGCTCTGCTCCTGCTGTCTCTCATGCTGCATGCTAGGGTCTCTCTGCTGGGGTCTTGGGTCAAGGATGCACTCCACTCCTGTTCCACATTTTAGGTATCTGTCAGAGCAGCAACCCACTCTTTCGGTACCATATTCTGTTCTGGATACCTAGTGCCGCTCTGACGGGAAAATACCACAGTTAGGATGGCTTGAACAAACAGGAGTTTATTCTCTCACAGTTTGGAGGCTTTAAGGCAGAGTGCAAAGTGCCAGGGTCTAGGGGTTGGGTGAAAGCCCCTCAACTTTGGCTTCAGCTCTGCCTCCTACTCCTGACCCACTGAAGCTAGACGCTTTTCTTCACTCAGACAGCTTCTGACTGCTGAGACTGCAAAGCCCAAGGTTGACAAGTAAAAAGGCACAGTCCTGATGTTACCAAACCACATGGCAGACCATTAATTCAAGTCCATTCAAAGTCCCAAGGTTGGCAGAGCATGGCAGGCTGCTGAACAATAACACGGCTACATGCAGGGTTCAAGCATGCCATAAGCTAGAGACCATTCCCCAAGGCTTCTCCTTACATGCAGGGAGCAGACAACATCCCTAAGGCAGCATTCAGCTGCTCATAGTAGATTCCTCCATAGAGTTGATTACCAGTCTCATCATGGGGAATACTATATTCAGCTGCACAGCCACTCAACCAGTTCCAGCCAAGTTGACACACAAACTAACTACCACAAAAGCCTTTATTACCAACTACAGAGAGCTGATAGTTCAACCTTTTCTAGCCATCTAGATATTGTATCTGCCCTAATGTTAATATTAAATCATAACCTGCCTTACATTGTCTGTTAGTTGTTTACCTGATTCCAGGGATTTGAATATAAGTTCCTTAAGAGCTAGAATGCATTTTCATCTCCTTCCCCCTTTTTTTTTTTTTTGCAGGGGGTGTCCTTTACAGAAGTCAGATCAGTACTTCTTGTTGTTTTGTTGTTATGTGCTGTCGAGTCGGCCCCGACTCATAGCGACCCCTCCTTGGGTTTCCGAGACAGTATCACTATGGAAGTAGGATTGCCCAACCTTCCTTCCGAGGAGTGGCTGGTGGGTTTGAACCGCCAGCCTTCTGGTTAGCAGTCAAGTGCTTTAGCCACTATGCTACCAGATCAGTATTAGCATATGGTAAAATCAGTTGCAGTTGACCTCGCTTTGACTTATGGCGACTCCATGTGTGTCAGAGTAGAATTGTGCTCCACAGGATTTTCAATGGCTGATTGTTTTTAGAAGTAGATTGTCAGGTCTTTATTCTGAAGTGTCTCTGGGTGACTCAAACGCCAACCTTCTGGTTAGCAGGTGAGCTCATTAACTGCATCACCCAGGGACTTCCTAGGCAAGTAGTAATTGCTTAAAGACTACTTGTTCAATTAACCCTAGAGCAGCAGGACTGAGGTGTACTATATTCCCATCAGGAATGTGTTTATAAAAACCGCACACCTTACCAAGAGCAGCTACAGCAGCAACACCAGCAGAAGCAGCAGGCATTGGATCCACGATTTCCCCCTGCGTGCTGGCCAGGAGCAGCGCCTGGTGTCTCCAGGGCTGCAGACATCTGTCGTTTTCGCATCTCCATCCCTTCTGATCCCACTGGCTGCAACAGGGAACACAAGAAGGGAAGGGGCAGAGTTAAAACAACATCAGTCCACAGATGCAGCTGTTGGACTCATTAAGAAGATGCAATACTGACTATATCTGGGTCATTTCTGCTAATTCTGGTAAAATTAGGTGCTGAGAATCTTAGAATCTAGTAATTTTTCAAACATTTACTTGAATGTCTAGCATCTGCCAACCATTATGATACATTCTGAGAGTAAAATGATGAATGAGAGGGTCCCTGTCCTTAAGGAGCTCACAGTTCAGTAAAGGAAACAGACAAGTATATATGTAAATTTAAGAGCTTTGGTGAGTGTAACAATAGGGGTATTTCCTGGTTCAGCCCTCTGGAACTCAACAATAGAGGAGCAGTTACAAGTGGCAGCTTAATTGCAGCTGCCCCTCAGGCCAGCATACAGATAAGGTGGATACCAAGCTAAAAAGTTAGCCATGTTAACACAGCAGTGAGGAAAATGTCAGAAGAGGGGGACTGTGTCCATAGAGGCATGGCTGACCCAAAGAAGTCACCCATTTTAGGATTAATGACCTCATGCATGCAAAGCTGGGTTCACGGTAATTGCTCAGTTATTTCCAGAGACAGAATGCCAGGAAGGGACTGTGAGTGGCACCACAGCTATCCTGCTGTCTTAGGGACCTTGATTCTAGTACCACCAGTGGGGATCAAGTCATTGGAAGTATATGCTTTATGTCTGTAAGCCCTTCTCCTTTTTTTTGAGGACCACAGAAATAACTCAAGAATAGAAGCATGAAACCACCATAATAAACCAGAAATCGCGGAGCCAATTTTTACTTTTGATACTATTGGTGAATTATTGATGAGGCAAGAGTAAGCTGATATAAAGGAAACTAAAGAACTTTAAACAGTACTTTGGAATTACATTTTGGATTTTATTATTCTATTCCAACTTGGGGAGTTCTAGTGGCATAGTGCCTAAGACATTTGACTGCTAACCAGAAGGCTGATGGTTCAAACCCACCAGCCACTCCTTGGAAAGAAGGTTGGACAATCTACTTCTATAGTTATACTGCCTCAGAAACCCGAGGAGGGGTCGCTATGAGTCAGAGATGACTTGACAGCACATAACAACAACAACAACAACATTCCAACATTGTATTTGTCTACTCGTATTGACTATTATCTATTCCTATATGCTATTGGAGCACTAGTGGTACAGTGGTTAAAGGGCTTTGGTTGGCAGTTCAAACCCACCAGCTGCTCTTCAGGAGAAAGATGTGACAGTCTGCTTTCATAAAGATTACGGTCTTGGAAACCCAATGGAACAGTTCTACTTTGTCCTAGAGGGTTGCTTTGAGTTGGAATCGACTCAACAATAACAGGGTTGGTTATAGTTTTTTAATATGCTATTGGACTTTGTTTTAATTATTATTATTTATATTTGTAGATCAAGTTCTATTCATTAAAAACTTTCTTGGGGGGTTGTTCTTTTTTTAATGCATTTTATTGAAATATAATTTATATACAGTGAAATACACAAAACTAAAGTGACATGGGTCAATGCATTTTTTTTTTTTTTGCAGTGTTCCCTCCCCTCCCCTCCCACCCCTGGCAACCAACAAAGAAACTTTCCCTCCATATATATAAACCTTTCCTTAACCCTCCACAACAACAAACTAATACTATATTTGTCCTTCTGTGATTGACTTATTTCACTCAGCATAATGTCCTCCAAGTTCATCTATATTATGCAGTGTTTTGCAGACTCTACATTATTCTTCAGTGCTGCATAGCATTCCAGTATGTGTATGTACCATAGTTTGGTCATCCACTCTTCTGCTGATGGGCATGTAAGTTGTTTCCATCTTTTTGCTATTGTAAACAGTGTTGTGATGAACATGAACGTGCATGTATCTGTTCCTATCCTAGCTCTCAGCTCTCTAGGATATATACTGAGTAATGGGATTGCTGGATCAAATGTTATTTCCAATCCCAACTTTCTAAGGAATCGCCATATTGCTTTCCACAGTGGTTGTGTCATTTCACAGTCACACAACCAGTGTATGAAGAGTCCCAATCTCTCCACATCCCCACCAGCATTTGTTATTTTCTGTCTCATTGAACCTTGCCATCAGTGCTGGGGTGAGAAGGTATATCTCATTGCTTTTTTGATTTACATCTCTCTGATGGCCAATGATTGTGAGCATCTTTTCATGTATTAGTTGACCACCTGAATATCCTCCTTGGTGAAGTGTCTATTCATGTCTTCAGCCCATTTTTCAATTGGATTGTTAATTCCTTTGGTGTTGAGGTGCTGGAGTTTTCCATCAGTGTTAGTGATAAGTCCCTTGCCAGATATGTAATTATCAGCAACTATGAATTTGTTGCTGCCATTTTTGTCATGTGCTTTTTCACTGTGTTGATTTCTTTGTTCCATATAATTTTCTATGCAGAACTCATTTTGTTTTATGAATCATGTTATCTCTTCCTTCATTGCTATTGTTTTAGTATTTGCTGAATATTTATGCTGATCCTCTTTTTTATTTTGATGTGAAGGTTTATCACTTTTCTTTGAGGTTACCCTGTGATTTATAGTTTTCTTCTCAAGTTTAGAACAGTCCATTCTATCTTGTAATTGTCCTGACTTCCCTACCATCTACAAGTTCTGTAACAACACAGGTTTTTTTTTTTTTTCACTCTTTTTGGTTTGTAGTTGTCCTCATTTGTCGGTTGGTGTCTCTGGTTCCCTGTTTACAATCTTGTAAGCTTATTTACTTTGGGTACTTCCATAGCTGGGTTGGTTTCTGGGTTATATCATCATGTGTGTTAATGATCAGTTGTTGTTGACTGTTGTTGCTTCTCTGTCCAAAGGGCTCCCTTTAGCATCTCTTGTAAGGTTTTAACAAATTCCCTTAATTTCTGCTTATCTGGAAATGTCCTAATTTCACTATCATATTTGAGTGACAATTTTGCTGGGTACCTAATTCTTGGTTGGAAATTTTTCTCTTTCCATCTTTTACATATATCATCCCATTGTCTTCTCACCTGCATGGTTTCTGTTGAGAAATCTGAGCTTAGTCTTATTGGTTGCCCCTCGTAGGTAACTTTTCATTTTTCCCATGCTGCTCTCATGATTCTTTCTTTGGTTTGGTTTTGGTGAGTTTGATGATGATATATATGCCTTGGT